TCAATAAAACTAGGGATCCTTAACCTAACCTTGTCAAACCCTGTGTAAAAAATAGAGAGGAGAAAGGAGGAAAAGGGAGAGAAAGCAGAGAGGAGAGATAGAGGGAGAGGAGAGATAGAGAAGAGAGGTGAAAGGAGATATGAGAGAAAGAAAGAGAGAGAGAGAGAGAGAGAGAGAGAGAGAGAGAGAGAGAGAAAGCAGAAATGAGATGAGAGAGAGGAGAAAGGAGAGATGCAAGTAGAAAGGGAAACGCAAAATGTGTTACATCACTGTGTTGTGATCTTGTCAGCTGCTGCAACACTACTCAGCCCAGTGTCAGCCAAGACAGTGTTGTTGCCCCCTTACATTCCTTTCATATGTAAATCAGGTGTAGAGACCATATGTCGCTCAGGGAGCTACGCAACACATCCTTCCCTCATATTACCACATAAACTTCCTTATGTGGGGCCCCAACCACAACAGGAGGAATCCTTATGTCCTTTTCAACATTGCAAGCTCTTGAGAAAGGGTTGGCTGCAACAAGAAAGGCCTGGAGTTATCATTCATCTCCTCCAAGTGGTTGTTTTTTCATATTTTATCGCTTATCCGTGATTATTGCACACGCACACACATTATATATGTGTGTGCAATTATATATATATATATATATATATATATATATAATTGCTTGACTCAGTTCAGGACTTCTGTGTAACATAACTCATATTCAACACAAAAAACATGAGCCATTTTTAATATTGTAGCCTGACACATTTTTAAGACAGTAATGCGACCCGTATTTAACACCTATAACAAATTACTCTCCATAGAATTATTGAACTAATACTGCATCCAGCTCGGGTTATTGATGATAGTCTTGCCATAATAATAGAAGTAAGCTGGAGTGTAGATCTCACCTACGATGCGATTGGGTAGACACGAGAGCCGGATGGAAGGAATTTCCTGAAATGGCCCCGAGAGATGGTTCCTGATATCAGGGTGGGAAATGAGGTGTTGGAGAGAGGACTTTGGGATTAACGAGAGGGTATATCTACCCCGGTCATGGAATAATGTTGGTCAGATCAGAGTTTACAATCTTCTTGTGTTCAAGGCCACCTGAACTTCGTTTACCTTGTGGGATCTCCCTCATAGCAGCTCTTTACTATCTACAGTATTATTATATACATAACACAACAATAATATATATATATATATATATATATATATATATATATATATATATATATATATATATATATATATATAATATATATATTATATAATATATATATAATGTACGTGCCGAATATGTAAAACTGGTCAATTAGCAAGAACTCATTTAAAATTAAGTCCTTTCTAAAAATTTCTCTTATACGTTTAAAGATATATTTTTTTCATTAATGTTAATGTAAAAATTTTTAATTTTGCACCAAAAGAATCTTAGGAAGCTTACCTAACCTTATTATAACGAGCGCTATCTATTTTAGCCTAATCCTACTATATTTTAAATGCGTTAACGTAATTTAATACTAAACAAACACAACGAAATATATTTTTTTCGTTAGGTTTAGAATGATTTTTGCGAAATTATTGCATACACAATTTTCGCTTGTCCTATATGGCAAGATGAGCGTTGCTATTTAAGCCAAGATCGCAAGTTCTGCCTATTCGGCACGACAATTTATATATATATATATAATATATATATATTATAATATATATATATATATATATAGCAGGAACAACGTCATGATAGGAATAACAAGACTGAAGGAGGCACAATTAAAAGTAAATACGAATATTTTTTATAAAGGAAAAAACAGAGAATAGCTCCTTTTCTTTGGATCAAGAGCCCTTCAGGATTTACGGTCACAAAATTTTTATTTACGATACGTTCTCATGCACACATTAACTTTTTTGTGTGTGTGTAAATATGAAATAAAAAATAAAAACTTTAAATGAATCCAGGTCTTGTAACATCAAGATCAAGATCTTGATGTTACAAGACCTGGAAAGGTCAAAGAACGCCAAATCTTGGAAGGTCAAAAAAACTCCACATCTTCCAAGGTCAAAGAACTGGAAATCTTCCAAGGTCAAAGAACTGGAAATCTTCCAAGGTCAAAGAACTGGAAATCTTCCAAGGTCAAAGAACTGGAATCTTCCAAGTCAAAGACTGAAATCTTCCAAGCCAAAGAACTGGAAATCTTCCAAGGTCAAAGAACTCAATCTTCCAGGTCAAACCAAAAATCTTGCCAGACCCAAGAAAAATTCCAGATCTCCAAGACCAAAGAATTCCAGATCTTCCAAGACCAAAGAAATTCCAGATCTTCCAAGACCAAAGATCTTCCAGATCTTCCAAGACCAAAGATCTTCCAGATCTTCCAAGACCAAAGATCTTCCAGATCTTCCAAGACCAAAGATCTTCCAGATCTTCCAAGACCAAAGATCTTCCAGATCTTCCAAGACCAAAGATCTTCCAGATCTTCCAAGACCAAAGATCTTCCAGATCTTCCAAGACCAAAGATCTTCCAGATCTTCCAAGACCAAAGATCTTCCAGATCTTCCAAGACCAAAGATCTTCCAGATCTTCCAAGACCAAAGATCTTCCAGATCTTCCAAGACCAAAGATCTTCCAGATCTTCCAAGACCAAAGATCTTCCAGATCTTCCACGACCAAAGATCTTCCAGATCTTCCACGACCAAAGATCTTCCAGATCTTCCAAGACCAAATATCTTCCAGATCTTCCAAGACCAAAGATCTTCCAGATCTTCCAAGACCAAAGATCTTCCAGATCTTCCAAGACCAAAGAGACTCTCACGAGCCTAAGACGATTCACGAATGCCAACAAATCAAGGATCACAATGGGAATTGAGGACCTAAATGGAAATTCCAAGGACCCCCTAATAGAAATCAAGGATCTCAGTGGAAATTTAAAGGACCCCAATGGGAATCAAGGACCTCAATGGAAAATCCAAAGGACCCCAATGGAAATCAATAACCTCAATGGAAATTTCAATAACCCAAACGGAAATAAAGAACTCCAGTGGAAATTAAGGACCCCAATAGAAATCAAGGATCTAGACTAAAATCAAGGACCCAATGGAAATAAAAAAATGGAAATCGAAAGCCCCAATGAAAAAAAAATGGGAATTGCAAGGACCCCGATGGAAATAAATCACTTTGGCTTTTTTTTGGATTATCTTGCGTAATTTTGGTTTATCCTGCGTAATTTACGCACACGTTAAACTATGATAGCTGTATTTATATATACCTGTAACTAACAGTTTGTAGTTTATTTGCAATCGTGTTATTGCGTTTTCGTGAGTGATGATGGCTGCTATGGTGTGTTAGCGGAGTGGAGGACCAGATGGAGTGATGTTTGGGTGTGTTAGTGGAGTGGAGGACCAGATGAAGTGATGTTTGGGTGTGTTAGCGGAGTGGAGGACCAGATGGAATGATGTTTGAGTGTGTTAGAGGGAATGATGGTTGGGAATGTCAGTGGAGGGCCGGATGGAGTGATGGCTGGGGTTTCTAGTGGGGGGAGACCTAGATGGAGTGATGGCTGGGAGTTAGTAGAGTGGAAGCCCAGATGGAGTGATGGTAAGATTCTTAGTGAACTAGAGGAGGGAACTGAATGGAGGGATTAAATGTGAACCATTATAGGCTGTGAGTGGTCGGGCGATGACGTCAGTGGTCGGGCGATGATGTCAGTGGTCGGGCGATGACGTCAGTGGTCGGGTGAAGACGTCAGCGGCCGAGCGATGAAGTCACTGGTCTAGAAATTTAAATTATGACGACTGTGTAGAATATTAATTATTATTGTTATTTTCAAAAGGAAGCACTAAACCCGCAAGGGTGACGCATTATCTGATAACTAGGAATACTGAGGCTTGATCAATGAGGCTGACAACGTGTACTTGAGAGGAGAATATTCTCTAAGACCGCACCACGAGTGTTTCTGCTCCAGTACAAGGCACTAGTAATACCTCCAGTACAAGGCATTAGTAATACCTGCAATACATGGCACTCGTAATGCCTCCAGTACGAGGTACTAGTAACACCTCCAGTACAAGGCACAAGGCATCAGTAATACCTGAAGTACGTGACACTTATAATACCTCCAGTGCTAGGTACCAATAACACCTCCAGTATAGGGTACAAGCAACGCTTCCAGTAAATGTACCAACATCTCCAGTACAAGGTACAAGTAATACCTCGAGTACAAGGCTCTAGAAAGGCCTCCAGTGCAGTAATTTCAGAACCCACGTGTTGTTCCTGTTAGCAGCAAGCGTTAAACTCTAAGGGGTCATGTAGCACCTGGGGACATGGGAAATAATCAAGGTCGATTAAAGGATGAGGAAGAGAAATCCATCTCCTAGAATCAAGAGCCCTTCAACAGCATCAAGGAACCTTCCTTGAGGGGTCGTACCTGGCAAAGAATGTTAACAGCAATCTACCAGGTAATACGTACCGTATTATTGTACTACCATGTAATACGTACCGTATTATTGTACTACCATGTAATACGTACCGTATTATTGTACTACCATGTAATACGTACCGTATTATTGTACTACCATGTAATACGTACCGTATTATTGTACTACCATGTAATACGTACCGTATTATTGTACTACCAGGTAATACGTACCGTATTATTGTACTACCAGGTAATACGTACTGTATTATTGTACTACCAGGTAATACGTACTGTATTATTGTACTACCAGGTAATATGTACTGTATTATTGTACTACCAGGTAATACGTACTGTATTATTGTACTACCATGTAATACCGTATTATTGTACTACCATGTAATACGTACCGTATTATTGTACTACCATGTAATACGTACCGTATTATTGTACTACCATGTAATACGTACCGTATTATTGTACTACCAGGTAATACGTACTGTATTATTGTACTACCATGTAATACCGTATTATTGTACTACCATGTAATACGTACCGTATTATTGTACTACCATGTAATACGTACTGTATTATTGTACTTACATTCCCTTTTGCAGCGCACTGAAGACACTTCCAGCTGCCACCAGCTGCAGCAGCAGACATGTCACACCAGCTGCCAAGTTCCCCATCCTTATTCGTTTCCCAGGTGGTGTCCGAGATGCCTGCTGTGTTCACTCCCTCTACAGCTGGTCCTGGATCAGCTGGTCTTCACGACACACAGCTGGTTCACATAAAAGTTGTCCTCTTCCCTACGCTAAGATGGTTACTGCGGATCGTGCATATTAAAAATAATAAGCTCTAAATCCGTATGGATCACACATCTGACTCATATAATCACTGAACTTTTTTGTATAAATCGTGTCGTACGTGTTGCGACCACAAATCGTATTTTAATAAGATGGCAGAGCTAAAACCGTCGGGGGTCATACAGCGCCTGGATGCTTGGAGGCAGTCTGTTTAGATCCAAGGATGCAGAGGGGCAACTCAAATTCATTGGATCAAGTGCCCTTCACCAGCATGAGGGAACTACAGATCGTAATCCACCTCCGCGTTAAGGTTTCTTTTATTTACAAGTTTTCTCTTAAAAAACGCATATTAGGGCCAGAAAGTCGGTATTGAGGGGTAATTACATAACGACTAGTTTATCCTCGTTAAACACACAACCAGCTGCCTATACTTAACTCCTAACTACGTTATCATTTATCACTTTTCTCTCGTCAGCTGATCCGCAAAAAAAATCCAAGACACTTATTTGACAAAAAATCTCTCAAAACGCAAAGGAGAAACTGAGACAAAAGTCTTTTATTAGTGTACAGTGATGAGAGTCACGTGGTGGAGAGGACAGAGGTCGCAGCGACACACCCGACCCACACGACACCCGGGAAGCTACTGAGGCTACCCTTGTCTGACTCTGTCATTGGCACCTAACACAGCACCCTCTTACGCATGCGTCCTGTCAAGGTAAACAAATAATAGGAAACAGTGTGTTAGGTTTAAGGATTATCCATTGTCCCTGTGTGTTATGGCAGCAATTTACCCGTACATTAACATCAAAATACTTTAAGACATGATGTAGGAGTTAAAATTAACTCTTAGTATATGTCATGTGTTTATTGGCTTATTATAATATATCTTTATTTCTATAAGTACAAGGTATACAGTCCTAGTTAACATCAATGACACTGTTATACAGAAAGCCGCTTGTTATGCTGAGCATTTCGGGCAAATTACGTCAATTTTGTCCCGGGATGCGACCGACACCAGTCAACTAACACCCTGGTACCCATTTTACTGATGAGTGAACAGGGACAACAGGTGTAAGGAAACATGCCCAATGTTTCTACCCTTACCGGGAATTAAACCACGGGCCCTCAGCTTGTGAAGCGAGAGCTTTACCTACCAGGCCACGGGCCACTTGAACAACGGTCGATAAACAATACATCGCAGACGCATAACTATTTGTCCTATAACCCTGTGGAAATCAATGGAAATATAACGAATTATTTGTATATCGTTGATTTTAGAGTTTGCCACCGAAGTGGCAAGTATATTGTGCGTCCCCATACCCATCATGTGGACGGGAGTACGAGAACATATACCTGGAGGGTATTCCGGGGGTCAACGCCCCCGGGGCCCGGTCCATGACCATATGAATACACATACGCTGTAGTAACTTGGCTACTACAACATCAGTCTTTTCACATTGCAAGTGTTGTAGACATACATGTCTACAACAAGTTATCACAGTTAGTGGAAGATTTACGTAACTAATTACTTTCCTATAATATTGCTGCATTATTTAGTTCTTATAATATTCCTAATGCTAGACACAGACATATCATAATTATAGTCTACATTTTCCTTCAGGGTATTTTGTCTGACTTATCAACTTCATCATGCAGCCAGCAGCAACAGCCTGGTTGACCAGGCGCTGATCCACCAGGAGGCCTGGTCACAGACCGGGCCGCGGGGGCGTTGACCCCCGAAACTCTCTCCAGGTCTCCAGGTAATTCAGTGAGTGACGGAATCCATACAAATCGTACAATAATTCCCTTGTCTCTGATTTTCGAGTATCACCATTTGACTTCTTCAGTGAACATGATCATTATGTGAGTCAAGTTCCTTAATGACGACAGAATTAGTAATAATCGTAAGATAATTTTAGTGCCAATAGGATTTCAAACAATTCGTTATGCAGTGTAGACTCCCAGTTGTTAACTCTTATGGGTAATTCAGTATAGTTGCTAGAGTTCTTATTTAGGGAAGTGTCAAAAACAGCAGCTGCAGCCCTGACAGTACTCTCAACAAGAGCAGCTGCAGCCCTGCCAGTACTCTCAACAAGAGCAGCTGCAGCCTTGCCAGTACTCTCAACAAGAGCAGCTGCAGCCCTGCCAGTACTCTCAACAAGAGCAGCTGCAGCCCTGACAGTACTCTCAACAAGAGCAGCTGCAGCCCTGCAGTACTCTCAACAAGAGCAGACTGCAGCCCTGCCAGTACTCTCAACAAGAGCAGCTGCAGCCCTGCCAGTACTCTCAACAAGAGCAGCTGCAGCCCTGACAGTACTCTCAACAAGAGCAGCTGCAGCCCTGCCAGTACTCTCAACAAGAGCAACTGCAGCCCTGCCAGTACTCTCAACAAGAGCAGCTGCAGCCCTGCCAGTACTCTCAACAAGAGCAGCTGCAGCCCTGCCAGTACTCTCAACAAGAGCAACTGCAGCCCTGCCAGTACTCTTGCTTAGACCCATCAGTGTACATACTTTTAATATTAAACGACAGTTAAGCCTGACATATTCAATCTGAGCTCTTGCCTTATTATCATATAACGCATGGCTTCAGTACAACAGACTAGTGAATGCTGACACTCGTTCAACAAGCACTGCGTATGTTTACGTTTCCTCCAGCCAGTGGTTTCCACTCAGTTCATTACAAGAGAAGAACCTATAAATGAGAAGAATTGAGTAACCAGTCTAAAATTGACCACAAGGGCCCGCGCGCTGTATCAGAACCCTGGCCTCCATCTCTAACGACTGAAGACCACTCTCCAGACTATCTTGCCTACCCCCATTCTTGCTCACTCTGCATAGAGAGTTAAGTTCCTCTCATTCAACAGGCCTGATAAGTCCCTGGTACTGAATGGACAGAGAAGCTACAGGCTGAGCTGCAAGTACTTACAAAGCCACTGCAGCCTATAATAGTTCTCTCTAACAAGAGATCTGCAGCCATGCGAATAGGTGCGTAGATCAAGAGCAAGTGCAAGCCTGCCATGACTCTCAACAAGAGCAGGCTTAGCCTGACAGTCTCTCTAACAAGAGAGTCTGCAGATAAGGCGTGTAGTACTTAGAAGGGCGCCTAGCCTGCAGGACTCTCAACAAGAGCAGCTGCAGCCCTGACGTACTCTCAACAAGAGGCTGCACCCTGTCAGTACTCTCAACAAGAGCAGCTGCAGCCCTGCCAGTACTCTCAACAAAAGCACTGCAGCCCTGCCAGTACTCTCAACAAAGAGCAGCTGCTAGCCCTGCCCTACTCTCAACAAGAGCAGCTGCAGCCCTGCCAGTACTCTCAACAAGAGCAGCTGCAGCCCTGCAAGTACTCTCAACAAGAGCAGCTGCAGCCCTGCCAGTACTCTCAACAAGAGCAGCTGCAGCCCGACAGTACTTTTCAACAAGAGCAGCTGCAGCCCTGCCAGTATTCTCCCCCCAAAAAGAGCAGCTGCAGCCCTGACAGTACTCTCAACAAGAGCAGCTGCAGCCCTGCCAGTACTCTCAACAAGAGAAGCTGCAGCCCTGCCAGTACTCTCAACAAGAGCAGCTGCAGCCTTGCAAGTACTCTCAACAAGAGCAGCTGCAGCCCTGACAGTACTCTCAACAAGAGCAGCTGCAGCCCTGACAGTACTCTCAACAAGAGCAGCTGCAGCCCTGACAGTACTCTCAACAAGAGCAGCTGCAGCCCTGCCAGTACTCTCAACAAGAGCAGCTGCAGCCTTAACAGTACTCTCAACAAGAGCAGCTGCAGCCCTGATAGTACTCTCAACAAGAGCAGCTGCAGCCCTGACAGTACTCTCGAAAAGAGCAGCTGCAGCCCTGACAGTACTCTCAACAAGAGCAGCTGCAGCCCTGACAGTACTCTCAACAAGAGCAGCTGCAGCCCTGCCAGTACTGTCAACAAGAGCAGCTGCAGCCCTGAGAGTTCTCTCAACAAGAGCAGCTGCAGCCCTCCAGATCTCTCAACAAGAGCAGCTGCAGCCCGCCAGTACTCTCAACAAGAGCAGCTGCAGCCTTGCCAGATACTCTCAACAAGAGCAGCCCGCAGCCCTGACAGCACTCCAACAAGAGCGCTGCAGCCCTGCCAGTACTCTCAACAAGAGCAGCTGCAGCCCTGAGAGTACTCTCAACAAGAGCAGCTGCAGCCCTGCCAGTACTCTCAACAAGAGCAGCTGCAGCCCTACCAGTACTCTCAACAAGAGCATCTGCAGCCCTGCCAGTACTCTCAACAAGAGCAGCTGCAGCCCTGCCAGTACTCTCAACAAGAGCAGCTGCAGCCCTGACAGTACTCTCAACAAGAGCATCTGCAGCCCGCCAGTACTCCAACAAGACAGCTGCAGCCCTGCCAGTACTCTCAACAAGAGCAGCTGCAGCCCTGACAGTACTCTCAACAAGAGCACTGCAGCCCTGACAGTACTCCAACAAGAGCAGCTGCAGCCCTGCCAGTAACTCCCCAACAAGAGCAGCTGCAGCCCTGACATACTCTCAACAAGAGCAGCAGCAGCCCTGACAGTACTCTCAACAAGAGCAGCTGCAGCCCTGCCAGTACTCTCAACAAGAGCAGCTGCAGCCCTGACAGTACTCTCAACAAGAGCAGCTGCAGCCCTGTCAGTACTCTCAACAAGAGCAGCTGCAGCCCTGCCAGTACTCTCACAAAAGCAGCTGCAGCCCTGCCAGTACTCTCAACAAGAGCAGCTGCAGCCCGCCGTACTCTCAACAAGAGCAGCTGCAGCCCCCGCCAGTACCTCAACAAGAGCAGCTGCAGGGCCCCGCCATACTCTCAACAAGAGCAGCTGCAGTCCTGCCATTACTCTCAACAAGAGCAGCTGCAGCCCTGACAGTAAATCTCAACAAGAGCAGCTGCAGCCCTGCCAGATTTTCAACAAGAAGCAGCTGCACCCTGACAGTACTCTCACAAGAGCAGCTGCAGCCCTGCCAGTACTCTCAACAAGAGCAGCTGCAGCCCTGCCAGTACTCTCAACAAGAGCAGCTGCAGCCCTGCAAGTACTCTCAACAAGAGCAGCTGCAGCCCTGACATACCTCAACAAGAGCGCTGCAGCCCTGACAGTACTCTCAAAAAAGAGCAGCTGCAGCCCTGACAGTACTCTCAACAAGAGCAGCTGCAGCCCTGCCAGTACTCCCCAACAAGAGCCCGCTGCAGCCTTAACAGTACTCTCAACAAGAGCAGCTGCAGCCCTGATAGTACTCTCAACAAGAGCAGCTGCAGCCCTGACAGTACTCTCGAAAAGAGCAGCTGCAGCCCTGACAGTACTCTCAACAAGAGCAGCTGCAGCCCTGACAGTACTCTCAACAAGAGCAGCTGCAGCCCTGCCAGTACTGTCAACAAGAGCAGCTGCAGCCCTGAGAGTTCTCTCAACAAGAGCAGCTGCAGCCCTGCCAGTACTCTCAACAAGAGCAGCTGCAGCCCTGCCAGTACTCTCAACAAGAGCAGCTGCAGCCTTGCCAGTACTCTCAACAAGAGCAGCTGCAGCCCTGACAGCACTCTCAACAAGAGCAGCTGCAGCCCTGCCAGTACTCTCAACAAGAGCAGCTGCAGCCCTGAGAGTACTCTCAACAAGAGCAGCTGCAGCCCTGCCAGTACTCTCAACAAGAGCAG